TGACCGAACCCCAAGTTCTCCTCACACCGAGCTGATGCTATATGTGAATACCACTCTGGAGCAGTGGAACACAGTACAGAAGACTGTTGGACCTTCAAAAGAGCAATTGAAGATTTGATTGAAGCCGAAAGAATTGTTTTTCAGGATGAATAAGCTCTTGATGTGATGAACAATCTGTTGCCTGCCCACAGTAGCGGGCCAACAGTCGGAATAATTTTTAAAGATGAGGAATTTGATCCGGCATTGAAGGCCATTGCAGCCATTGTCGAGACAGAAGAAAAGCCAAAAAACGGTCGCCAAGCCTAAAAGTTCTCCATCAGATGGGAGTCTCGGTAGCCAGTCTTGCTATCCTTTTTGCGTCTGGATTATCTCAGGGTGTGATCCGGATGTTTTACTTTAATGTCTTACTTTCCAATGTAAACCCTTCTATCTTCAAAAAATTAAAAAAAAAATCAAAAATCAAATGAAATTAATATTTCATTGTCCAGGAATGTCTCTTTTCTTAATCTTGTCATTTTTCTTATTCTTTTTTAGTTCTGTTAAATGCAGATTTCAATAATATGACATGCTTGCGGACTTCATGCCCAGATCCTGAAACGCTGTCAGACCTCAAAATAATGAATCACGAATTAGACCACAATGAAGATATGTTTAAGGAAATAAAGCAAAGACTAGGAATAACTAAAGAAAATTGGTTCCAGATTGGAAAGATCCATACATTGCAACAAGAGCACTGCCAAAAGAGTGCGTTGTGCTTGGAACACATCGAAGGAAATGTCCCTGAAATAACTGCCAATGCAAATGTAGTCAAAAGGTACTATGTTGGATCCTCTATATAGAATTAATATTCTCCGATTGGGATGAAGAAGGTTTCTTTCTCACTATCCAAACACTATCAACCCTTTGCAAACCCTTTGAGCCGGTTACTTTTCTTTGATTATCTTCTTTAAAACCTGAAAGTGTTATTGAAAAATAAAAATTGAAAAAATGAAATGAAAAAAAATGAAAAGAGAAGAAAAAGAAAAATACAAAAAAAAGGAAGAAAAGGGCAAAAGAAAATGAAATGAAAAATGAAAAGGGGGAAAGCAAAAAGAAAGAAAAACAAAACAAAACAGAAGAAAAGAAAAAAAATGAAAAACAATGTTTCCTGAACTACGTTCGACTTGATTCCGAAAGGATACGTAGGCAGCCTCTCTCTGGGGTTCAATCACACCAAAATAAAAATCCAAATTCCCCCAAAAGTGAAACTGGGGCAGATGTTATAATGGTTCGACGATGATCCCGCCCAAAAGGTTCCAAAGTTGTAACTCAATCCAAATCCTTTTTACCCTAAAACCCTGTTCAAGTCCTTCTGATCAATCAGCAAAGAGGTTCGAAATGGGAGGATAAAGTTCTTGGATCTGATACAACAAAATGAGAGAAATAAAATGAGAGAGTCTTATTGGTGAAAACCCACACGGGCACCGTAAGGCGATGGTAAGCAGAGAAATAAAATAAGAGAATCTTAATGGTGAAAACCCACACGGACACCGTGAGGCGACAGTAAGCAGAGAAATTGAAAATGAGAGAGGCTTGTTAGTGAAAACTCGCAAAGAACACTATATGGCGATGGTGAGAAGAGAAATGAGAGAGGTCAACTCGTGAAAACCCGCAAAGGGCACCCCTGATTGAAAAGAGGATCTTTACAGCCATCAGCATCGGCAGAGTCCTAGCAAGGTTTCTCAATTTTGAGGCAAAAGTTGTGACGAATTTCTGAGAGTCGGACGGTTAATACAGATCAGGTATCTAGTCCAAAAGGCATGTCATGTTCATTGAAGTCCGCATGTACTCCAGATAAGTCCTTCTTTCCTTTCCCCGAAAGGGACACTTCTTGTTTTAAATTCATTCTCCACTCCATTGTTTGTTTTCTTTGAATCCCTTTCGGTCTAACTCTGTTCTGAAACTAAGACAAAGAAAGGATGGTAAGACTGATTTACAGGGTTCTCATTTGATATAAGCTAATATGCAAAAAGGTACCTAGATTCGTCGGGGCCATCAAGTCAACCTCGACCGGCCATGACGGCTGATGTTTTGAAATTGAAAAACTCTTGAAAAGAAAGGAAATCAAAGTCAAATGCCCACAAAGGCAAAATAAAGTTAAAAAGGGTTGAGTCTCACGTGGCTGACCGTCTTGGCAAAGGTTTGAAAAGCCAAGGTACCCCAAATGCTCTGAAATTGAAGTTGGAAGAAAGAATCCAAAAATGAAAGGCCTACGAAGACGAAATAAAGTTGGAAAAGGTTAAGTCTCACGTGACTAGTCGTTGCGACAAAGTTACCCAATGCTCCGAAGTTAAAAAAGAAAAAAAAAAGAGAAAACAAAGGCAGAAGTTAGAAGGGAAAGGCCTACCTAGGCAAAATAAAGTCGAAAAGGTTGGGTTCCACCGACCAACCGTCATGGCAAAGTCTGGAAAAACCAGAGGTTCTCTAGGGCCTGAAGTGAAATCGGTCCTCAGGGAACCAGCAGTTGCAGTTGAGATCTTCATCCAAGAAGTCGGGCCGAGATCGAGTGATTGAAACAATCAAGGCCACAAAACCAATCACCGTTTCAAACTAACAATTGTTCTTTGTTTGAAAACATGAAACATGTGCAATCCAAAGCAACCTTGCAAGAAGCAGGTGCAACCAAACAAAAACTGCGCAAGGGCTAGAAACAGCTTTGCGGCAAAAATCAATCCAAAAGGGAAGTCTCCTCTAAATTCTTTCCCGCATTTTACTCATTTTCTTAAATAAAACAAAACAAAAATGAAATGAAAAGAAGAAGAAGAAAAATTCAAAATTATGGTAGCATATGATCTCCAATCTCTAGCTACGTCCTTTCCAACATAGGGTCTCATTCCCTAGTCGATGCCAGCATAACCTGGTAATCTTTTCCCACATAGGGTCCTATTCCCTAGTCACTGCCAGCATAACCTGGTAGTCTTCTTCAGTATAGGGTTCCACTCCCTAGTTGATCCTCGGCATAAACGGACGGACCTTTTCTGGCATAACTCGATGATTTTTTTCGGCCTAACCCGAGGATCTTTTTTCTTTCCGGCATAACCCAATGACTTTCCCGGCATAACCTGTAGACCTTCCCGGCATAATCCGATGACTTTCCCAGCATAATCCGCGGACCTCCCCGGCATAACCCGAAGATTTTTTTTCTTTTCCGGCATAACCCGATGACTTTTCCGGCATAACCCGTGGACCTCCCGGCATAATCCGAGGAACTTTTTTCTTTTCCGGCATAACCCGATGACTTTCCCTGCATAATCCGTGGACCTCCCTAGTATAACTCGAGGATCTTTTTTCTTTTCCGGCATAATCCGATGACTTTCCCGGAATAACCCGTGGACCTCCCCGGCATAACTCGAAGATCTTTTTTTTCCAGCATAACCTGATGACCTCCCCGACATAACTCGAGGATCTTTTTTTTCCAGCATAACCCGATGACTTTTCCGGCATAACCCGAGGATCTTTTTTCTTTTTTCCGGCATAACCCGAGGATCTTTTTTCTTTTTTTCTGGCATAACCCGATGACTTTTCCGGCCTAACCCGTGGACCTCCCCGGCATAACCCGAGGACCTTTTCTGGCATAACCTAGTCATTTTTCCAACATAACCTGGTAATCTTCCCAACTTAGGGCCTCCGATCCCCATTTAATTTCATTTTAGATATAGGGTCTCCACTCCCTAATCTCTTTTTCTCAAGGATACACAATCTCGATTTATTGCTTTCAATAAAGAAATAGTTTAGATTTTGTTGCAATAACTTACGAAATTTTCCTAGTGAAAAATGGACCAGAAAAATTTCATTCGTTTGTTTGTTTTGGTGCCTGAACAGGTTTTTACCATAAGGCACGAGGTTTGAGATGACCAAAAGAAGAAGTCTCAATCCAAAGAAAAGAAAAGAAAAATAAGAAAAGAAGTGAACTCTAAGTTTAGAAGCGGAGGAAAGATGCGGACGACTCAAGATATGATTGAAGTCGCAAGCTTTGCATGTCCCGCCTTGATCTAAAAAGCTGAAGAAGAATGAACCAGCGGTTGCAGCTAACGAGCATCAAGATTCAGATCAGAGTCTGTAGGATGAACCATCCAAGACTCAAGATCAAGCTTTAGAAGGTTTATAGATAGGAATTTTGTAACTCGTAGTTGATAGGCTTAGCTAGTTTAGTTTTTATTTTTTTTGTTATAATAAGGAGCTCAGCAAGCAAAAACAGCAGCAACAACAGTGAAATCACAGTTTTCCGGTAGTTCCAGCTACCAAAACTTTCCGAACTACACTGACCTGATTCCTTTATAGCCAAGGATATGTAGGGAACCTCAGAAGCAAGGTTCGGTCAGATTTTTCAAAAGATCTTCTCATGGAGTTTTAAACGGGCAAAAATTGCTCGTAATTGCTCATTTTATCTTTACCCAAAAATCCTTCGTGTTTCCCTGCAAAGAGGGGCAGATGTGAGTGCGTGTTTTTTGCCCTATATGTACTATTCCTATAAAATCAAAGGAAAATAGATTTTTTCCAATAATTTGCCATTTTATAGGATTTTTGTAGGATTTTATTAAATGTTTGCATTTTTGTGCACATTTAATTTTGTTAAAAAAATCATAAAAAAATATCAAAAATACCTTGCATTGAATTTATATTTTTGTTTTTATATTTTTAGGATTAATTAATTAATTTAATTGCATTCATTAAACAAAAATTACTACAATAGTCATGTCCACATTTTAGCTTTTAGTTTTAAATTAATTAGTGTTAAATTAATCAAAATAAGTAAGATTAACTTTACAAAATAATTTAAGGTAGAGCCTAATTTAGAATTTTATTTAGCTTGTTTAATTTGTTCAACTAGATTTTTTTTAAAATCAAAGATGAAAGAAGAATAAAAGAGAAAAATAAAGTTGTCTTAATTTTTAATTGGGCCAAGGCCCAAGAGGTCCAAACCAAGTTAAATTCACCACAAAACCCCTCTCCTTTAATTAAAATACCTAGACTTAGACCTATAAGAGATCAAATCCTAGACCTAACCATCAGATCACACACAAGAGAATGAGAATTTCTCCTCTTTAGAAAATAATGAAAAACGGCGCCTCTCTCATCTTGAAGGAGACGAAGCAGCACCTCTATCTCCTCTCTTCTTCAGCAATCTTCAGCAACAGACGAACAGATTCGTCACCCTCCATCCCCAATTTCCCATAGAAGTGAGACCATTTCCCTTCTACGACCAAAATCGAGCAGCCCCATTCCAAAAGAAAGGAGCAATAGAGTTTGAATGAGATAGTTCTATGGTTTCTCAGGTTATTGGGCTATCAAGGCTACTGTGTTAGGTTCAAGGAATTTTCTGTGCAATTTCTTGATTTTTAAGCTGAAAACTGAGTTCAAAATTGGCTGCTTTTGCTGGAATTTGCTGAGCTCCTACCCGCTGGTTTCGTTGCTTTTATTTGGCTCCCCTTTGCTTTCCAGATTTAATCTTTGTACCATTAGCCTTTGCTTTGGCTTTCGAGTTTCTTTGCGTTTCAGAAGTTATTGAAGTTAAAGTATTATTAATGTTTGAAAGAAATCAAATTTTAAGAACCTGCTAAGGAGATTTTAATGGCCTCAAGTTTCTCTCCAGCACTTAAATAAGCATACTTGCTAATAAATTGACGGATAGAGATTATGTTGCGAGGTGCTTCTTAATACGGATTTATTCCGGATTCTTTCGACGATTCAAGGCTCTTTAACCTGTTCGCCCGATATTGCTGCCACAAAAAAAACAGTTTTAACCATTTATCACATTGTGAAAGCTCATGCTCACCACAGAATTTTTCGGGTTGTAAAATCAACAAGGAATGAAACTGCCACAGACAACAACAAAAATGGCAGAGGGACTTACTGTAGGATCCAAACTATCACTCTACATATTGTGATGCTGCTATTGTCTTTTGGCCACAACTACAGCCTGTAAAATCCAATTGCGACAAAAGTCATCAACTTGAAAAAATGTACACTTTCACTTGTACGCATGCAAATAAGTTGTCTCAGGTGCTATTGGATCATGTTCAGTATTGTTTGCAAAGTCTCTTTCAAACATGTTAAGATTGTCCATGTCAAGTGGTTATTCATTGCACAGCTGGTTCACGTATTCCATGCTCGTGTTGTTTCTTAGTACAGCTGGATTTTGGATGGCAAGGTATTTGATGCTTTAAGTACAACAATGTTCGTTCTTGAAATAATTTCTGTGTTTGTGGGCATTTCTTTGCTAGCACCAGATGAATCAAAAGGAGGTGAAGTGAAGGATGGTTCTTTATTTTCAACAACTTCCAATTTGTCACAGGATGAGGAGAGGTATGTAGTCTCGACCTTATTAGGCAGACGTTGGTTATTGGAGATTGAATAGTAAATTCTTGCTTTTATCTTGTCTATAATTCCTAATGGTTAAAAGTGCTTTGCAATCTGACCTTTATTTCCTAATTACTGCCTTTTTTTATTGGTAAATGTGCACATGCTAGGCTGTCCAAACATGACAAGGAGTTGAATACCATTATCGTGATTGTGTACACGTTCGAGTAATACGATTGCGCTTTTAAAAATGAATATCCGTAGCTTACTTTTAAGCGCGATTAATAAACCATCGTGACTATGGGTACAGTTCCCGTGGCATAGTCATGGTACTTAATTCCAAAATTCGGGGGTGCATTTCATGTAACCCGGTCATAACAACTTCGAATTTAATAATTATAAACATGTCGCGAATCACGGGGGCATTTCATGTAGCGTGGTTTGCTGCATGTTCCAAAACAAACAAGTGTACGACAATGTAACTTGTTCAAGAAATAAGTCCATAAACCCTAAAAGCGGTTAAATTAAATAAAAGTTGTTATAAAGTTAAAAATGCACAATAGGTTTAAAACGTGTAATAAATCAGATAATTAGGCCAATTATTAATAGTTTAAGCGATCGTGCTCGAACCACGGAACCCGGGAATGCCTAACACCTTCTCCCGAGTTAACAGAATTTCTTACTTAGAATTTCTCGTTTCGTAGACTTTTGAATAAAGTTAAAATTCTCCTCGATTTGGGATTTTTAAAATAAACTGGTGACTCGGGACATCAAATAAACTATTCCAAGAGGCGACTCTGAAAAATAAATAAAATAATCACATTTCGAATAATGTCACTTAAATTAGAAAAACTCCCTTATATTATCCTCGGGTGGTAAAAAAAGAGGTGTGCCAACATCTAAAAGCAGTTGTTACCCTTCATCTTCTTCACACCCCACAACTACAAAAAACTCTAATCCCCTTAACCCTCCAACTGCCCCACCTCTAACCAAAACAACAAAAATGCGTCGCTGCCAAGCCTTTCTGACGCCAAACGACCACCCACCAGTCGCCCACTCCCCTTTTTCCAGATTTCGGCCGCCCAACTCCACTCTTTCACCACCCAAAACCAAAGACACACACACACAACCATATACAGAGAGGAGAGGGGCTGCTCACCCAAAAATCTTTCTCCGTCTCTTGGGGTCACTGCTGCTGCGTCGTTGTCATCTATGGCGAGGCGACCGGTGATGTCCTTTCTCCTCCTTCAATTTTCGCTGCCATCGCCGATTGCCGGCGACTAGCTACGACCAAAATGACCTCATTCCTTGCTTTTCCTCACTCCGTTTCGCTGTTGAACAGTTCGGTGACAGATCTGGCCGGAATTCCATTATCGGCGACCTAATGTTTCATCATCTTTGTTTCGAATAAGTCCAGAAGCCATCGCTGAAGCTAAGCAACAGAAGAAGCTTTTTTCTGGTTTATGTTTCAGTTTGAATTTCGGAACTTTGGTTTTCCAAACAGTGGAGTTCGATTGAGGTGTTATCGTTTGAGTTTCGTCTGCCGGGGGCTAGGTTCATCGAGGTTCGGATCAATAGTTCGTTTGTTTTGGTTTGCTGATTTTTGAGATCTTATTTCATTGTACATGGCAAAAAATTGCAGCAATAAAGGTCCACTCGATGTCCTCTTATGCTATTTGTTAAAGTTTTGATATTTGCTTCTATGCTCCCTTTCATTAAGTTGCTTGTTAAATCTTTGTTGTATTTTATAGTTTGAGTTATTAAAATGCCTATCAATAAATCTGTTCAACAGTGTCTGAGTACAACATGATTCCCAATGGGAGAAACTAAGGCTAAATCAATTTTCAATTTTCTATTTGGATTTTGAGAACAAGAATAGGCCGTGGGGTTGCTCTTGAAGCAATACTAAAGCCAGTACATTTTTTAATTCAAAATAGATATCGCAAGAACTTGGTGTTGCATCATACTGTTATGATATGCGTCCAGCTTTTCTATCATTTCTTTAAATCATAAAATGTTATTAATTGCGTACACGTTCGCGTGATATGATGTATATTTTAAAAAATGAATATTCATAGAAAATGCTTTAGGCACGACTTAATTTATCATCGTGATTGTGTACACGTTCGCGTGACATAGTTACGATTTTTTAAAAATAAATCGAGTTATGCGTTTGTACAAATTCGGCCAAACTTTCTTAATAATAATAAAGTGTGATTAATCGTGGAAACGTACGCGTGACATGATTCTTGACGCACCAAACGAAATGAGTGCACGTACGCGTGACTCTTTTTTTAGGATAATTTCTTAATTAAAAGAGGTAAATACACGTAGGTTCTAAAACATATAATTAGACAAATTGATTAAGCCCAATATGATTAAAGCGACCATGCTAAAACCACGGAACTCGGGAACTTGGCTTTATTTATTGTTGATATTACTGTATTGTGTGGGCCTAATATGCTAATTGCCGCTTATTTACCGCTTTGATATTATTTGAACTGTACTTAAATGTATTCTTATGCCTCCTTTCTGAGTTTTCTAAAAATATGGTGCACACGTACGTGTGGCCCACTTTTTTGTTAGAAGTCATACCAAATAGAACGAAGCTTGGGTCAGCAACAAGGTCGGGTAGACTTTCGTTCTCTCGGTACGTTGCCTTCACCTCAGCTCGAGTTGTCCGCTCGGGTAAGCCATGTCTAGAACACACCCCCAGATTTCAACCTAGAATGACATAACCTCATGCCGAATCCCAAGTAGGAACGTTGTTTGCATTATGTGCATTTGACTTTGGAGACTCAACACAGGGGTTGGGTCCGTCTAGTAAAGGTGTACACAAAAGTAAAAGACCATCACGATGCATACTATGTGCTACATGTTGCATTCTTCAAAGGTAAAAGGGGTCATTTGGTGGACCAATGGTGGTTGAGGGTAAATGAGAAAGAAAAGACGGTGAAGTATAAAAATGAAGCAAGTAGATCCCAGTTATATTTTTCTTTCACAATTTGTTTTTTCAAGAAAAAGAAAAAATTGAAAATGAAAAATCCAAAAAGATTTTGCACTTTCCCATCATTTTTCAAAAAAAGAAAGAAAAAGAAAAAAAAGAACAAAAAATATGTTTTCTCCAAATCAATTGTTTTTTTAATTCTTGCCCGTATCCAATCTGCCTGAACCACGCATACTTGATTTTCGTCTTTCGGGACGGGATACGTAGACAACCCACATAGGGTCAGGTCTTCCTAGTGAGTCTTATTCTTGGCTTCGAGGGTTGTAGTCAAATCTTGCATCTCTAGCCACTTTTGGCCACATCGTTCGTTTTTGCAAAATATGGCTATTTTCGCAAAGTGGTTTGTTTAATTGTCTAATGAGTCTTGAATCCACAATTAGGTTCTCTTTACTTTAAGGCCCATCATTGTCGAATTTGCATGTCTAGCCGCTTTTGGCCTCATCGGCCGTTCTTGCAAAATGGGGTCATTTTCGCAAAAAGTAGTTACAGTGACCCATGTCTTAGAGTTCTAAGTCCACAACAAGATATTCTCTCTGTTTAAGGTCCATTGTGTTGAATTTGCATGCTTAGATATTTTTTCGTCCACATAGGCCATTTCTACAAAATGAGTCATTTCTGCAAAGTAGTTTTTCCATGCCTTAGAGGTCACTTTGGTTGAGTTTGCACTTGTAGCCACCTTTTGGCCACATAAGCCATTTTGCAAAATAGCCTCAATCATATCTTGCATGTATCCAATAGGAAGTCTTATTGTCTCACATAGTGTTCTAAGTCTTTAACTCTATTTGGTCTTATTTTTCTCATACAGGTGTGGATCTGCTTACCAAGCTTGAGCATGACAGACGCCCAAGGACCCTCTTAGTCAGGACCGTTGCATCCAGGAGTTGTTTAAGGATTTTTTATTTATTTATTTTTTGAATCATTTTTTTTTGTCTTGTACTTTATAGTCATGTTCAGTAGTACCGATTCTTTTAGTTGGTGTCAGAGTTTGTCGTAGTATAGTTGAGTTTGTCAAGTCTCTCGTTATCGTATTTCCTGTTTTATATTTGAAAACCGAAAAGAAAAAGAGATATAAATGAAAAATCCAAAAAAAAATTTATTTTTTTATTGTTCGTTTAATTTATCAATTACTTTTCCAGAACTACTCTTAGTCTTATTCGTGTGGAACATGATACGTAAGCAACTTATATAGGGTTTGATCGAATCATCTTTTAAAATTAAAAGAAAAAGAAAAAAGGAAAGAAAAAAAAAGATGGAATTATGGGATGTGAGAAATAAGAGGAAAGAAAAGAGTGATAATTAGAAAAAAAAAGAGAGGAAGGAAAATGAGAAAGCCAAGAAGTGCTAGAAAAAAAAAGAAAAAAAAAGAGAAGATTGAAATGAACAAATTGGGATGATGCCGAGTGACCTTGTGACCCTCGAAGTCATTTTAGAATCGATAATTGTGATTAGGTGCATTGCACACAATGTGATATTTCTAGCTATTAAATGCCCTAACGCTAACATGATGACTTCATTTTGTTTCTCTTTGTTATCTTCAGAAAGGTGGTTGGTTTGTGGTTCTTAAACTGGTAACTCTTCCATACGACATAATGTCAAAGAGCAAGGTACTCATGGCTAGCAAAGACTGGGACACTGGTGTTGTTAATCTACCTAAGGGGATTGTTGAATCAGAAACTGAGTTGAAAGAAGAGGTCCTAAGGTTGAAAGGATAGATAACCGAAATATACCAAGCCTGGATTAGTGGGCATCCCCCACCATTAGTTCCCGCTAATTACACTAAAATTCTTGTCACCATTCCACCACTGTCACAAATTCAGCTTCATACTGCTGCTGATATTTCCCACAACATTTTCACACTCCACCCGCCAAAGCCACCTCATATCCCGCTCCTTTGACCACTCATGTTTTTCTAGCTCCTCCATCAGCTACTTTTTTTGCCTTGATCCTCTAGCGAGACTGTGTTCAAAGTTCCCGATGCCCAACATTATTCTCCAGAACCAACTTTCAAGGTCTCAGATCTATACTCTCACGCTCCTTATTTTGAGCCTCCCGGTAAAACTGAAAAGCCTGCTAAGACAGTGGAGCAAGATGAGATATCCAGAAAGGTAAAAATCTTAGAGCAGTCTTTAAGAAATATGCAAGGGATAAGGAGCCAGCTGAGCGTGTCTTATAAAGACTTGTGCTTGTTTCCTAACATCCAACTGTCTGCTGGGTTTAAGATGCCAAAGTTTGATTTGTATGATGGATATGGAGATCTCGTGGCCCACTTCAGAGGCTACTGCAGTAAGATGAGAGGCGCCGATGGGAAGGACAAATTATTGATGGTGTATTTTAGTCAGAGTCTGAGTGGGGAAGCTCTGGAGTGGTACACCTACCAAGACACTAGCAGGTGGTACACATGGGACGATATGGCTCAGGCCTTTGCCTGACACTTTTAGTACAATATAGAAATTGTCCCGGATCGCATGTCCCTCACCAAGATATAAAAGAAGCCTAATGAAAGCTTTAGGGAATATGGGCTCAGATGGAGAGAGAAAGCTACCCGAGTCAATCCCCTGATGGAAGAAGATGAGATGGTCGAGTACTTTCTTCAAGCTTAAGAGCCAACTTATATTTGGGCATTTGATCGGCTATGGGTAAGCCTTTTAATGATGTGGTAAAAATGGGAGAAATGGTAGAAGATGGGCTGAAGTCGAGCAAGATCATGAGCTATTCTACTTTAAAAGCCACAACACAAGCAATTCAGAACGACACAGGAAGTTTGCTAGGTCAGAAGGAACATGATCATGTTGCCATGGTTGTCTCAGGATTACGACATGGTCCAACGGGTCTGCCTCACCAATATACTTAGCCTCAACCCCAACCCCAAACCTATCCCCAAGCTCCATATAATCCACCCTAGTGTTATCCTCCGAACAACGTCCGGTCATCTGTCCAACCACTGGGCCACTCTTTATGGCAAGCGCCAACACCTCATAATACACTTTTGCCTTCACAACATTTTTGAGCATCCAACAACCCTAGAAAACTGGGGCATGGAGGGGGACAAAGGCAAAGAAATAGTTTCACGTAAATTGGAGAATCCTACACAAGCCTATTTGAAAAGTTAACACATTCTAGCTTGATTGAGCCGCTCTTCGGCTATACTCCGGACTCATATGTAAAAGGTTTTGATCCTACTGTACGGTGCATGTACCACTCTAATTTCCAAGGGCATAACATTAAAGATTGTCATGCTTTGAAAAGGGAAATAGAAAGAATGATTTAAGGAGGAATAATTGTGATCGAGGATAATGACACTAAGAATATCACGCAGAATCTTTTACCTACACATGATGATGCACACTTTGTGGGGATGATGCGTGGTGATAGGGAGTATGATAATCCTCTTGGGAACTTGCTGACTGAAGTTAATGATATTGAAATTGGTAATGGTCTTGGTAATATTGATGTGGAACTCAATGACTAAGATGTCGAGCTTGGTAATTGGAAAGACGCTCCTTTCTTGGTTAGCCGGGGAGGAGTTCTGGTGGTTATTTTGTTGTCATTTCTGTTGTCTGGGTTATTTCATGGTTGTAATCTGAATATTGTCTTGTGACTCAAACCCTTCTATCCTTTTATTTTCCTAGTTAACTTAGTTGTAGTACTCCTTTTAGTGTTATTTAGGTTTTTTCAGGGTTGTAACCCTCGTGTATTTTGCTTGTTTTGTTGTTTAAACCCTCTCACCGTCTGTCTAATGCAATTTCCTATTTTCTATTATTTCTAGTCAGTTTTTGTTTAGTTCTCATTTTCTTTTATAGTCTTTTTATCCTGATTCTAGTGACACGACATGCACGCATAATTCTCAGTCTGGTCTTAAAAGAGTTTAGTCATGAAGCAATGAAACAATTTTGAAGATGATAGGGACGTTTGAGAGAAATAAGTATAGATTTGGACATTTTGAGAACATCTGAAGCCCGAACTGTGTGAAACTGAGGCAGATAATTTGAAAAGTTATTAGGATGACAAGAATTCGTTAAAGGAGAGTGCATCCCAGACAATTTGAAGTGAGCAGTTTTTAGTTCAAGTGCACCTCAATTTACAAGATAAAGTCAAGAGAGTTTTCTACGAATTGACGGAGGATATCCATTGTGAAGAAGAAATCACCCAACGAGAGTTTTGTACTTAACAAGGCAAAAAAAAGTTGAAGGCATATCAGTGATATCAATGTCGAAGCTGCAAAAAAAATATTATACTTGGCATTTTCAGGGATTGAGAGACCCTCTTTCAGCTACCCAAACACTTTATACCAATCGTTACCCCTTTTGAGCCTATGCTAGTTTTCTTGATCTCCCCTCTTTTGAAATCGAGTTAGAGTCATTACATAAAATAAAAAATAAAAAATTCGTGCCCCATAAAATTTGTTTTAAAAACTTCATTCAAAAAAAAAGAAAAAAGAAAAAAGAAAAAAGAAAAAAAAAAGAGAAAAGAGAAAAAACAAAAAAAAACAAAAAGAAAAGGAAAATAGCAGCAACAAAGAGTAGTCTTTTGAACTATGTTCGCCTCATTCTTGTCACCACAAGATACGTAGACAGCCTTACAGTTCGATCACACCAAATAAAATATTTCATAATCCCACGAAGTCGAGAGTGGGGCAGTCTTTCTTAGAAATTCCATCTAAAAATAAAATTTCTTGTTTTAGAAATTGGGGCAAAGTTTAGAATGGATTCCAAAAGTTGTAAATAAATTAATCCTATTGTCTTAGTTATTTGGAGCCTTTATGATATTCCTTCTTTCTAACCCTGTCCAAAAGCCACATTACAGTCCAAAAGACCTCCCAGATAATCTTCGAGAGTGCTGAGTCAGACATGTCAGGAATATATGATATTTCTATCATAGTTAATGCCTTGTCATATGCAAAATAAGAGGAAATAAAAGAAAAAGAACAAAATGAGAGAGTTTTATCGGTGAAAACCTTCACAGGCACCATAAGATGACAATAAGTTGAGAGAAAGAACAAAATAAGAGAGGCTTGATGATGAAAACCCTTCGGGCACTACAAGTCGAATAAGGATCGTGAATAAGATATGATAATCAGAGCATTGAAGCGCAGTTTCACGGCAAAGAAGCACAACAAGAGTTGAACATTAGATTTGCTTGACAAATTAGGCCACTTAATCCAAAGGTGCATGTCATGGTCATTAGAGTTGGTATCCACATCTGATAAGTTTCTACTTTGTAATTTTCTTGTTAGGTATCATCTCTTTCCATTGTCCCTTACTCTGTTCCTTTTATTTTGTTTACTTCCTCTTCTTGAGTCTGTTTGGTCAGAACAAGTGAGAAATGACATCAAAATTTGCTACCAGCTTTCCAATTGCAAAAAACGAAATTTGGGTAGCACATCAAAGTGGCATAAGTCAGGAAAGAATAGTATGCGCACTGAGTGGGTGGAAATTGATGTGCTTTAGGATTCATGTGAAATGCAAAGGTTCGGTGTATGTCAATTCATGAGCACAATGCAATAGATAGAGGGTATTGGGTTTGAACGGATCAGAGGTATTTTTTGTGATAAGGGTGACCGAGAAAGTGGTTAGTCAATAAACAAGCAAGGTCTTTCCAGTTGAAATCAAAGTTATCATGGAAAGTGAATGAGCAATCGCCCTCAAAGTCAAGGTCACAAACCAACCACCATGTTTAAACTCACAAGTTTTCTTTGTTTGAAACAAGGACGAAGACTGTGTCCAAATCAAAGCTTGGAAGCTTGAACCTTTCAAGTGTGATGCCCAATTTTGTCAGCACAAAGGATGTTTGAGAATATTTTTTTTACCTCCTAGGCATCCCCCTAGTTGAGAAGATTATCACCTCTCAAGAATTTTCCCTAATTGAGAAGAACCATACCTCCTAGATATCCCTCTAGTTGGGAAGAATCTTTAGTTTTCCTTAAGTTTAGGGGTCCCGCCTGGAGAATAGGATCATGTCTTAGTTTCTTAAGGTGCTAATCTTTAGTTTGCCTTGAGTTCAGGGGTCCCGCCTGGAGAATAGGATCATGTCTTAGTTTCTTAAGGTGCTAATCTTTAGTTTGCCTTGAGTTCAGGGGTCCCGCCTGGAGAATATGGTCAGTTTTC